TATTTGCCTGTTTCTGTGGTGTAAATGCTTCCACCCGGGCTCACTTCAAGCCACGAACATAATGCCAACCAGCTTCTAAATTTCCTGAAGCTATGGCGGCTTTCAGTAGCAGCTCTAGCCTGTGATGCCACCTGTCTTCCCTTCAGCGTCTGATGCTCCCTGTTCATGATTAAGAACAAGGCTCTGGGTCCAGTGATGTCCCTGGGTTGGGGGGGGGCTTGTCTTTTGGAAGCCACTTTGTAAAGTGATCCAATGGAGGCCCCCACGTTTCAGAATCTGTGGGGTTTTTTCTCTTGAATGGTCCATTTTATCTGTTTTTTATTTCTGGTGGTTGGGGGAGGTGTCCATTTTTGTTTTTGTTTTTGTTTTTTTTTTAAAGATTTTTTAAATTATTTATTTATTTGACAGATCACAAGTAGGCAGAGAGGCAGGCAGAGGAGGAGGTAGGATCCCCGCTGAGCAGAGAGCCCGATGCAGGGCTTGATCAGGACCCTGAGATCATGACCTGAGCCGACGGCAGAGGCTTTAACCCACTGAGCCACCCAGGTGCCCCTATCATTTTTGTTTTTTTAAAAGATGTTATTTATTTGACAGAAAGATAGAGATAGCAATAGAGATAGAGAGAGCACGAGCTGGGAGGAGAGGGAGAAGCAGGATTCCCGCTGAGCAAGGAGCCCCACATGGATCCCAGGATCCTGGAATCATGACCTGAGGGAAGGCAGATGCTTCACTGACTGAGCCTCCCAGGGTGACCCAACGGGGAAATGTCCTATCATCTGTCAGTGCTTTAGGGACTGAGACAGGGAGAGGGGCTGAGAGTGTCCCTATTTGTTGTGCAGTCTTTCACGTAGTCCCCTGTTTTGCTGTGGGGCCCCACCTCCACCAGTCCTAGTGCCCTGGAGTCCAGAGCTCTCTGATTCAGTCTTTCCAGGAAGGAGCCTCCAGGTACATTGTCTAGTGTTGGGGGGTAGGGTGTCAGCCCCTGACTGCATGGAGTGGGGAGTGGTATCTGGGAGTCTAATGACTTCACATGGATACTTTTTTTTTTTTTTAATTTTATTTATTTATTTGACAGACAGAGATCACAAGTAGGCAGAGAGGCAGGCAGAGAGAGGGGGGGAAGTAGGCTCCCCGCCGAGCAGAGAGCCGATATGGGGCTCCATCCCAGAACCCTGGGATCATGACCTGAGCCGAAGCAGAGGCTCAACCCACTGAGCCACCCAGGCACCCCACATGGATACTTTTAACCAATTTTCCCGCTTTTAGGCCACCCCACCCCTTTGTTTTCAGAGGGTTCTAGAACCTTCAATACTTCAGCCTTGCTAGGGTTTTGAGCTGGCTTCCTGTGGGTGCCATTCCTACCCTTGTTTTATTTACTTATATTTGTTTGTTTGTTTATTTAATTGTTTTGAGGTGGGGGAGGAGCAGAGGGAGAAGGGAGACAAGCAGATTCCGCACTGAGTGCAAAACCCAGCACGGGATTCAATCCCAGAACCCTGAGATCATGACCTTAGCTGAAAACAAGAGTCGGATACTTAACTGACTGAGCCACCCAGGAGCGCCCCCCCCTTTAGTTTTAACTGTCACTAGCTTTAGGGCACCTGGATGGCTTGGTCGGTTGAGGGTCTGCTTTCGGCTTAGGTCATGGTCCCAGGGTCCTGGGATGGAGCCCTGCCTCGGGCTCCCTGCTTGGTAGGGAGCCTACTTCTCCCTCTCCCTCTGCCTGCCGCTCTGCCTGCTTGTGCTCTCTCTCTCTCTCTGTCGAGTACATTAAAAGAAAAAAAATTTTAACTGTCACTAACTTTAAAAGTTGTTCATCTCTCATCAACTCTGTTGAACTTCTAAAATCTTTACCACCATTTTAATGAGGTTTCGAGAGGGAGGAAGTGGAGATAAATGTTGAATCCTCCGTGCTGAAGTGGAAGCTCCCTCCTCCACTCCTCACGGGATGCCCTCTTCTTACCCTTCAGACATGTCCCTTCCTCAGAGACTCCACCCTGTATGCTCCCATTAGCCTCTGCCACATAACACACCACCCCAAGACTTACTGGTAAACAGTAGCAGTCGTTTATTATGACTAGAAATCTGCCCTTTGGGCGGGGCTCAGCATGGGTGGCTCATTAGGAGGGAGAGCATCCATCTTGGGATGGTTTATGCCCACGGCTTACTCACACAGGTGGATGTTGGCTGTTTGCTGGGAGCTCAACTGGGCTGTTGGCCAGGGGCTTTGGTTCTTGTCCACGTGAGTTTCTTCAAGAGACTGCTGGGGCTTTCTTTCTGGGGGCCAAGGCCTGGAAAGGGCACAGCATCTCTGGGGCCATATTGTATCCATCAGTCATGGCGGCTGCCCAGATGTCTTAATTATAAAACCAGTGGGATTTTTTAAAAATTTTATTTATTTATTTGACAGAGAAAGACAGCGAGAGAGGGAACATAAGCAGGGGGAGTGGGAGAGGGAAAAGCAGGGCTCCATCCCAGGACCCTGGGATCATGACCTGAGCCGAAGGCAGATGCTTAACGACTGAGCCACCCAGGCACCCAACCAGTGGGATTTTTAATTTATGGAGATGGCTGTGTAACAACAAAGAAAGCCTAAAGCCATTGAGAGAAGATTTTTGTCACGATTTTCTAAAGAAGGGGGCTTGCCATACCATGCACGGCCACATGGGGGGAGCATTCGGTCAGGAGGCAGAAGGAGAAAGGCGAAAGCATGATCTAGAGCCTTAATGCGTTTTCCATGGGGAGGAAGGTGGGAAAAGCTGCAGGTCAAACAGTAGAGCAAGCTGAGGACTGAACAGTTGGAATAATTTGCACTGGCTAAAGGAGTCGTTCTTAGTTGCCCATTGCTTAGTCCTGGGGAGACTCAGGGCAGGGACAACTCTGACTTGGTGTGTGAGTTAGACAAAGGAGGGAGTTGGAGTGTGGGCTCTGGACTGGTTGGTTTGTATAGGAGAGGAGTGTTTGCAGGCAAGTCATTTGCCATCTCTAGGAACTAGCTCCCCTGGGAAAGGCCGGTGAGGCCCCCGAGATGTTAAAACCTCATAAATAGAGAAAATAAAAACATCTCATCTCTTGCTGGGAGCAGAGTCAGAAGGATTGTGGCCCTCTTTATCTGCCTAAAGTAGCAGCCTTCTTCAGGCTCTCACAGTAGCCTCATTCTCTTTCTTCATAGCACGGAAGGCAGCAAGCAGTTACACTTGTTTACCTGTTCAGGGTCTGTCTTATTCACTAAGCTGTCAGCTCGATGAAGGCATCCCCTTGGCTCTTTTGCTCGTAATTATTCTCCCAGTGCTGGGAAAAAGGTCTAGCACATAGGGGACCATGTACATCCCTAGATAATTATTAAAAGAATGAATGAATGAATGAATGAATGAATGAATGAATCAGGGTACCCAGAACATGGTAGGTGCTCAGGAAATGTCAGCAGATATTTAAGATTACCAACCCTCCTGATATGCCTGTGGTTTTCCCAGCAGTGAGGGAAAACGGGGTGTACCTGTGGCCTGGCGAGGCATGAGGGGTGAAACAGGGCATGGTTAGAAATGGTTAGAAAAGACCCGGGGGAGGGAGGTGGCAGTCAGACATGGAGGGTCTATGGAAGCCCTTCTATGGCGTTTGGACTTAGGTGGTGGGAAGCCATTAAAGGGCTTGGAATGGGGGGCGCCTGGGTGGCTCAGTGGGTTAAGCACCTGCCTTCGGCTCAGGTCAGGATCCCAGGGTCCTGGGATCACGTCCCACATCAGGCTCCCTGCTCAGTGGGGAGCCTGCTTCTCCCTCTGCCTCTACTGCTCCCCCTTCTTGTGCTCTGTCTCTCTCTCATTTGTTCTCATTCTATCTCAAATAAATAAATAAAATCTTAAAAAAAAAAAAAAGGCTTGGAATGGGGAGGGAGGTCATCAGAGGAGTTAAGGAAGGATTACTTGAGCTGAGCGGACTGGATTAGAGACTGAAGGGAGAGAGGCCTGGAGGAGGGCTGAGCCAGGCGAAGGGGGAAGGTGGCTGTGAGTGTAGCCACTGTGGGATGGAGAGAAATGCAGGAGTCATCAGAGACTGGATAGGGGCACTCCAGAAAAGGGGAGTCAAGGGTGACCTGGGCAAATGGGTGCATCTCTGAGGCGGGAACTTGGGAGGAGGGGAGCATGGCATGAGGGAGAAGACTTCCGGGTTTTGATGCAGTTTCTTTGTCAAGGTTCAGCTGTGGCAGCCCTTCTTGCTCTGCTGTCTCTTTCTCTCTCCCTTGGAGGACCCCCATCTTTTGGAATCAGCCACAGATTGGGGTCATTTTCTCTTGGTTCTCCCATGGCTTTGGAGTCCTTCCCAAACTGACTTGACTAGGGAACCCTCCCATCTTACAGGGCCAGGGTTCCAGGGAGCACACTTTGGGAAAGGCTGCCAAGGCGGCTGTTAAATGCATCAGCAAGTAGGGCAAAGGAACTTGCCCACTCACAGAACATCTAGATTGTCCTCGATAAGTCACAGTCCCTCTTTAGGCACCTGATTTTGAAGTATGCTATTAGCGTAGACACTTGAAATAGGCAGGGTAGTTTAGTGGTTGAGGAAATGAATTCTGGAGTCCCAAACTCCCGTGTACAGAGCAGAGTCTTGTCACTGATGCCCTGTGCGGCCTCAGGAAAGCCCCTTCCTCTCTCAGCCACCTCATAGTTGCAAGAATAGAGAGATTACACATGTAATGTGCTTACAGCTGTCCCTGTTACACAAGACACTGAATTCTGGAGTCAAGCTCAAGGTCATTCTCAGGCTGGAATTCTGGACCAGGCTCAGCTACCCTGCCTACCCCTCTGGGTTCCCCCCCACTACCCTGGAACATCTGGAAAAGGGCAGTGAGTGACAGGAGCCCTGGAGGTTGGGGAACTGCTGAGTTGGAGTGGGGGGTGGGCTCAGTTCAGACCCAGACAGAGGGAGGGTCCACCAAAGGGAGGGGGGCCTGGGGACAGTTGCCCCTTCCCTGTTCCCTCTTCCCTCAGGTCCTTCCAGACATGATGGCATGGCCGTGGCTGTCCTGCCTCCTGCTTCTTACCCTTGTGGTGTCTGGTGGGTACTTCCCCTCCCCCACTAGAGTAACACTAGCCTGGAGATCCTTGGCAGGACCCTCCAGAAGAGAGTGACACTGCCTCGTCAGCAAACTCCCAGCTCCTATGACCCAGACCCCTGCTTGGCAGCCCTGGGGAGACCTAGGGAGGAGTCCAGGCCCAGGCGGGTGAGCTGGGCTGAAGCTGGGACTGGTGTGGGCTCCCACAGAGGGCAGGAGGGGGTCAGGCTTCGTAGGGGCATCCAAGTGTTCTAAGTGCTCTCTCTTCCTACAGTGACAGCCAACACGGCCCCAGTGTTCTTAAAAAACATGTCAAGAGTGAATTTGCCCGAGGACTTACCAGTGGGTGAGTGACTATCCCTGTGCACAGACTGCGCCAAGCCCTTACCCAGAGAGGGTCCCAGGGTCTCCCTTATGGGCTTGCTTCCCATCCTGCAGCCCCGTGGCTCGTCACGGGGCGAAGGTGGCCAGGAGGGAGTTTGTTCTAGAATTTGTTTTCTTCTCTTCAGCTTTTGTGTCAGGGCCCTCACATGGCGTCAAGTAACCAAGACACCCCACGAGAACATTCTTCCTGTTTCCCATCTCTGGCTGGTGTTTCCGATGGCCCAAAGAGAGAGGACCCATCTGGGACCATTCTTTCTCTCCCATCTCTCACACTTGCTAACCTCCCTCCACTCCCTGCTTTTCTCCCCTCTAAACAGGAAGCAGGTCTCAGGCTCAAAGCCTTTCACGGACTTCTCACCGGAAGTTAATAATTGTGTTTTACTTCCATTGCCTTTGTTCATAGAGCTGCTTTCTATCTATGGCAAGTGAAATGGATTTCTATTTACAGCCACAATCTAAAGCTTGCTTTTATTTTCTTTTTTGAAAAGATTTTTAAAAATTTATTTGAGAGACAGAGAGAATATGCGTGGGGACAGGGGCAGAGGGAGAGGGAGAGAGAATCTCAAGCAGACTCTGTACTGAGCGTGGAGCCCAAAGTGGGGCTTGGCCCCGCAACCCTGATATCATGATCTGAGCTGAAACCAAGAGTCAGACACTTAACTGACTGAACCACCCGGGCATCCCTAAAGCTTATTTAAAATAAGTGTATTTACATGAAATGCTAAGTTGATTAAAAGAAGGATCATAAAGAATGAGACGTTGGATATGGTAAAGATCGCAGCAGTGTACAAGAGGGAATGACATCTGGGAAGCATTGTTTTGGAAGAAGCTGCAGGGACTGAAGACCTAATTCCCAGCAGGCAGGATATGGGTTGGGGAAATGGAAATGAAAGATGTCTCCTCGACTCCCCAGCCCTGGGACTCCTGCACACTCTGTCCTCCGCACCCCCCCCCCCGAAACAGAAAACGAATAACTTTATTGTTCAGAGCAGTGCACCTCCTTCCCCGAGCCAGATCAAATGAGGATCTTTGATAACCACATGGCTCTGCTCTGGGCTTTCTTAAACCAAAGGGCGATTTCCTTCTTCCTGAGATAAATTCTATGGCTCTCTTACCATGGGAGAGCATTTTCCGTGAGATTTTTTTTTTTTTTCAAGTATGTCATTTAGACTTTCTATTTTGAAGTTAATATATGCGCAGGAAAGTGCATTGAATCACATGGAATTACCACTGGATCCGGAACTAAGATGTTGCCAACAGCTCCAGGCCCCCTCTCTCATCCCTTTGGTCACTTCCTGTCCTTTCTTCCCTACACAAGACTTCTTTTCCTGACACTAACACTGTACCACAGATCTGTTTCATCAGGCAGACTTTTAAAATATATATATAATTATGATGTTTTAAATACCAATTTTAGTTTAGTGACAAACATACATAATTCTTTTTTTTTTTAAAGATTTTATTTATTTATTTGACAGAGAGAGAGCACAAGTAGGCAGAGCAGCAGGCAGAGGAAGAGGGAGAAGCAGGCTCTCCGGTGGGCCGGGAGCCTGATGCAGGCTCAATCCCAGGACCCTGGGATCAGGACCTGAGCTGAAGACAGCTGCTTAAGCGACTGAGCCACCTGGACACCCCAAACATATATAATTCTTAATATACAGAGACCTAATATAGGTCTTTTGTTTTTGTAGATTTTATTGATATGTTGCATTTAATTTTTTTTAAGATTTTGTTTATTTATTTGACAGAGAGAGACAGTGAGACAGGAAACACAAGCAGGAGAGGAGGGAGAGGGAGAAGCAGACTCCCCACCGAGCAGGGAGCCTGACGTGGGGCTCAATCCCAGGACCCTGAGATCATGACCTGAGCTGAAGGCAGATGTTTAATGACTGATCCACCCAGGCATGCCTACATTTAATTTTTTTAGGCCACTTTTAAAAAAAGGATTTTATTTATTTATTTATTTAGAGAGTGTGTGAGCAGGGAGGAGGGGCAGAGGGAGAGAGAGACACTCAGGCAGATTCCGCACTCAGCACAGAGCCCAGCCCTGGGGCTTGATCCCACAACCCAGATCCCACAACCCCAAGACAACAACCTGAGCTGAAATCAAGAATTGGAGGCTCAATCGACTGACCCATCCAACTCCCCTTCAGGTCAACTTTTAAAAGAGCATTTCTGGGACACCTGGGTGGCTCAGTCAGTTAAGCATCTGCCTTTGGCTCAGGTCATGATCCCGGGGTCCTGGGATCGAGCCCCGAATCAGGCTCCCTGCTCAGTGGGAAGCCTGCTTCTCCCTCTCCCACTGTCCCTGCTTGTGTTCCCTCTCTTGCGCTCTCCCTCTCTGTCAAATACATAAATAAAATCTTAAAAAAGAGAAAAAAGAGCATTTCCTCCCTGATGCATGTTTCTATGCCCCCAGTCAAATATATACAAGTAAGGGTTTATGCCCGCCCACACACCTCCTGGATTTCCTTAGGTATAAAGGCCACATCTTTTTGCACTTTAAGTGAATCAGGATGTATCTTACCATTGAGATAGTCATTTAACACAGAGTGACTTTTCTCCCCCCAGAAGCAGTCATTACATTGATAGTGTGTCTCACAATCGAGGAAACATAAAGTAGACACTGACATCATCTTTGCAGAACGTTGGTCTGGTGGTCTTCCTAGAGGAGGGGGTCTTGGTGGGGAAGGACTATAACCAAGCTTTCTGAGGAGTTGTGGGAGGAGCTGGGACTGTTGGGCCAGAGAAGAGCGGCCTCGGGGGCATAGTGCGGAACCTGTCCCTGAAGAGATGTCATGGGCAGGAGGGGTGGGCTGGTCCGCTGAGGCCCTCAGGCTGAGCATGGGGCCGCAGGGCCCCATGGAATTTGTTGTGGCACTTTTGAACTTTGTGGGTCCCTGACTCTATATTAAAATTATGTTTTATGATAGAAATGAAACATTCTTGTAGGTCTCCTAAAAGTCTCATAGGCCCTGGGTTCCATACCTCATGGACAGAAGAGATGAGGCCTTTGGGTCCCCACAGCCAGGACTTACAGGGAAACACACTTTGGGAAAATGGAGAAAGCCCTTGCTAAGGGATAGTTGTCTGACAATGGAAGGGGGTGGCTGAGAAGAGAGTAACGTTTCTCAGTGGCAGAGCAGAGGCTGGGTGGGATAATGGATGTAAGGTTTTGGAGAGGGGCTGGATGAATCTGTAAAAAGTTTCTTTGAGATTGGAGAGTTGGTGGCCTTGGGATCTTCGAGTCCCCCAATATCTCCAAGCCCCTGCTCTCCCCAGGGACATGCCCTCTGGGGCACAGTGAAAGAGTGGTGGCCCCTGGCTAGCAGTGGATGCTCACCAGATCAGGTGTTTCTGGCAGGCTTTGAGCAAGCTCTCTGGGTGAAGGGAGGGCTTTGAGGTGGCCCAGGCACCCCCAGAGGGACTTCAGGAGTTCCCCGTCCAAGGATGTCCCCAGCAGCTACAGCCAGACACTTCCCCTCCAGCCATCTTTGGTCTCCTCTCAAGGAATGCCAGGAAGGGAATTCCAGGGCCAGGAGAAAGGGTGATGCCTGAATCGCAGCCCACCCTACCATGTCCAGGGCAGAAGGGGTCTTCCCCTGGAGGAAATCAGCATGTTGTTATCAAAGCCATTGTGCAGGTGCCAAGCAACAAAATCAAACCTGACGTTTATGGCCACCAGGGCCAGAACCCTGGCGGCTGGGAGGTCCCAGATTTCTGCACACAGAAAAGACAGGCCCCCTAGCCCAGCTCAGCCAGGCCAGGGCTAAAAGAGGTGACCATGGACCGTGGGCATTCCCTGTCCCATCTCCAGGTGCCGAGGCCTTCTGGTTGGTCGCGCAGGACCAGGACAATGATACATTGACCTATGCGATTAGTGGCCCAGATGCCTCCGTCTTCTCTGTCACCCCGACCACCGGGGAAGTGAAGCTGGCTCACCCTCTGGACTATGAGGTAAACGGCAGCAGCCTGGGGAGACCCCGGGAGGGGCGTGGGGAGGTGAGGGCCCTCCCTGTGCCCTCACCCCAAGCAGAGGCTCACCTTGGACCTCTTCTCCCTGCCCGCTGCAGACCGCCTACTTACTCCAAATCATCATCTCCGTGACCGACCAGCACAACAAGCCAGTGAGTTGGAAGAGGGGAGGGGAGGGGAGATGGCCCTGGAATCGGAGAGCAGGGCACTAGGGGCCCCTCCTGCCTGCATCCCCTACCTCAAGCAAGCAGAGAGAGCCCTAGTTAACAAAAACTGAATTCAATATTTATTTTCATCTAAATTATACTCATCCATTTTGGGCCACACAATATTACCAAGATTTTAACATTATTATTAATTTACTTTAGTTACATGAAGATCTCACCTACATCATAAGTTTAATTGTATTAATTCATGTTAATACAAATGTTAATAAAAAACAAGTGCTAAATACCTCCCTCTCTTAGCTCTTCCGAGGCAGTACTTTCAACTCTCCAGGCTAAAAGTGTTGGGGTCAGCACTCAGATTTCTAAATGGCATGCTGACACCACTGTGCCTTACGTCTGTGAAAGTTGAGGATTTTGTCTTTAAAATACACTCCCCAAACCCTGTCCATTAAGAAAAATCATTTTAATGACTTGGATATTCATGAATATATTCTCTTTGTAAACATCTTAAAAGTTGCAGCTCAAGCTTGAGTCCCCTGGGTAAACCCTTCCCAGCCCACTCCCAGCCAAAGCCTCCAGTCACAGTTCTGCCACACCCCTTGCTATGCATTTACATATATATGCATCCCTGGAAGAAAGATTGTAGTTTTGGAGCATTTCCTGAAACCCAGATGGGATCCTACTGAACATAGTATCTTTTTTTTTTTTTTTAAAGATTTTATTTATTTACTGGACAGACAGAGATCACAAGTAGGCAGAGAGGCAGGCAGAGAGAGAGGAGGAAGCAGGCTCCCCGCTGAGCAGAGAGCCCGATACGGGGCTCGATCCCAGGACCCCGGGATCATGACCTGAGCTGAAGGCAGAGGCTTTAACCCACTGAGCCACCCAGGTGCCACCTGAACATAGTATCTTGAATTGCCCTGTCCAATTGAACAGTCAGCTTTGGAGCTCTGCCCGTGTCTCCTCATGAGCTGCCTGTTTCTTGTACTATTTTCCATGTGGGGACATACCGTGATGCTTTAGCTGGTCTCCTTGGACAGACACTTAGGTTGTCCGCAGCTTAAAACTATGCAAACAAATCTGAAATGAACATTCCTGTAGTAGATCAGACACATTTCAGATTTTTTCAAAATGACCTAATTATGTCTGCAACTTCCTCTGGAATGGTTCTGTAAAGATGTGAAGAGAGAGATCAAACAATGACTAAATCTGGGTGAAGAGATTTGGGAGTTTTGTGTACTATATTCTGGTGTTTGAAATTGTATTAAAAACGAGAGTACCCCAAATATTGCCAAAGTGTCTCAGAAACGAAGCCAACTTGCAGTCCCAGCCAGACGCTCCTTTTGTCTTCTCAAGCTCTTGCATTTTCCAGGCTCACTTGGGGTTTCTCACCTGCAGGTGCAGAAGACAATGCAGGTGATTGTAGAAGATAGAAACGACAATGCTCCCGTTTTCCAGAATACTGGCTTCTCCACCAGCATCAATGAGGTAACATCTGCCCTAGAGGTGTGTGTGTGTGTGTGTGTGTGTGTGAGATGCAGGCTTCCCAGAAGCTCTTCTCAGGGTGCAAAGGACCAGAGACAGCCAGCGGGGGGGCGGGGGGGGGTGTCCAGGATCGGGGAAAAGCACGCCTTAAAAGGGGTAGCTGCAGGAACCAAATTCAGGGGAATGTAACCCCATGGAATAGTTATAGCAACATGTTACAAACAACAAGACTGGATGAGAATGATTCTAGTTATGAAAGCAAATTTTTTTGAAAAACAGAATTTATTTTTTCATGTATCTGAAAAATTTAGAGGTATACTAACTTCAAGCACGATGAATCCAGGTACTCAAGCCTTGCCATCAAGAAGAGATATCTCGGGGTACCTGGGTGGCTCAGTGGGTTAAGCCTCTGCCTTCAGCTCAGGTCATGATCCCAGAGTCCTGGGATCGAGTCCCACATCGGGTTCTCTGCTAAGCAGGGAGCCTGCTTCCCCCTCTCTCTCTGCCTGCCTCTCTGCCTACTTGTGATCTCTGTCAAATAAACAAATAAAATCTTTTTAAAAAAAGAAAAAAAAAGAGATTTCTCTCTACCTCTCAGCTCTGCTTATCTTGTTGCCCCCATCCTTGGGTAAGAGGGCCATTCTCTCTTGTGGTGATAAGAGAGCAGCTCCACTCTTTGCAAGTTGAACATAGACTGTCTCTTTCTCCATTGTCCTGGCCAAAACTCCAGGATTGACTATCATTGGCCCATTTTGGGTCACGTGCCTATCAACCTAGGGGTACAGAATACTCTGTTTGGCTAGGTCTACATCATGAGCCCCCCCCCCCCAGCAGGGGAGGGCAGGCCCACTAGAACCACCTGCATGGGGAGGAGGTTCCCCAATGGTCCCTGAGCAGCAATCACAACACCACTCCTGGATCTTCATAACCATGTGGCTTTGAAGATGTATGAGGTGTGGGTCCCCACACTAGGTCAGGCATAAGACCAGTGAGGTCCAGGTAGCCATTTGACAGGCTTTGATGGAGCACCCACTGGATACCAGGCACTGTCCTTGGTGCTGAGACTACCTGGTAAATAAGGCAGACCTGGTCTTACCACCCTCAGTAGCTCGCATTCTAATGAAGAATATAGATAATAATCAATGAAACATTAAATAAGCAGGATTATTTCAGGTGGCACTAAGCTCCACGAGGAGCATAAAACAGGGTAAAATGAAAGAAACTGACCAGGAAGGGGGCTGGCTTAGGTTGAGTGACCAGGAAAGGCTTTTCTGAGTAGGTGACATCTGAACAGAGACCTACATGGCAAGAAGGCGCCAGCTGTGGGATGCTCCAGGAGAAGAATGTTCCAGGCAGGGGAACAGCAGATTCAATGGCTCTGAGCTGGGAATGAATTTGGAGTGTTCTAGGCATAGCCAGGAAGCTGGTGTGAATGGAGGGTAGAAGGTGAGGAGAAGGTGAGCTCAGAGAATTAGCCAGTGGCCTGACCTCAAAGGGCTATAGAAGCAGGGTGGACTGCATTCTGTGGAACCATTGGGGGGGTTTTAGCACAAGAGTAATGTGGTCTGATGCATGATTTTCAAAGATCACGTTGGCCACTGTGTGGAAATACTGAAAGTGTGGACAGGTCACAGGGGCGAAGGCCTCCCCAGAGAACCTTCCAGCTCTGCAGAGTGCTGTCTGGAATGTACTGCTGTAGGCTGTAGAAAGCCCACAGGAAGAGCAGGGGAGTGGCACATCCTTGGTTCTGGAATGACTGTACTCTGTTCCCTGCCCTCTCTCCCCTAAACTGTGTCCAGAGGCCCAGCCCAGGTGGGAAAGAAAGGGGAACATTGGGTTTCAGGATTTTTTATGTCTATGGTACAACTGGGGACACAAGTTCGGGGGGTGGACATGAGTGCTCGGTCATGGAGGGGATGGATTGGAATTCCTCATTACAGACCCTGCCAGTCGGCTCCCTGGTATTCTCTGTGCTGGCCACGGACCCAGACACGGGGTTAGCAGGAGTGGTGGTGTACTCCATAGAGAAGGTGAGCATGGGCCAGTCCTGTGGGAATATGGGCCCCACTGCCTCTCATGGCCACCAGGGGGCAGCATGTCACACACAGCCTACAGGAACCTTGAGTGTTGGGGTGAGGATAGGGTCTTAGTGGTGGCCCAGCCCCGGTTTCCAAACCTTTTGCTGGCCCCCTCTGAACTTCACTTGGCCAAGCTACCTAAGGAGGGTCCCTTCTGTGGACAGGACCCTTCTTCCCTTCTTCCCCACCCTCTTGCCTGGGACACTGTCTGCATCCCTGTTGGGTTCGTGTGACATCACCAGGTATCTGATACACAGAAGAGGAAATTGAGAGGTACAGTGTCTTGTCCAAGGTCACACAGACAGCGGGGGCTGTGACCCCATTTCTCCTGAAGACAAGTTTGCTAGCTATAGCTCCTGTCTCCTAAGTGCCTATGATGAGCCCAGCAGATTCATTACCCCATTTGACTTTCCTCTCAACCTGCTGTTGACATATCTGAGCTCATTTCCCAGAGGTAGAAACTGAGGCTCAGAGAGGTTATGTGACCTGGTGAGGGTGGCAGGGCTGATCAATAGCAGAGCTAGGGGTCAAGTCCCAGTCTGTCTGAGAGAGGTTCTGGCTTGACTGTGCTCTGCCCTAGGTCATCCCTAGCACTGAGGAGAACCAGCACCTCTTCAAGATCTTACCCAATGGCTCCATCATCCTCAATGGCAGCCTCAGCTACAACAACAAGAGTGCCTTCTATCAGCTGGAGCTGAAGGCCTCTGTGAGTGGGGGTACAGATGGAGGGGCCCCACAACCTGAGGCCTGGCCTTACGGAGACCCGTTTCCCCACAGGACTCAGGTGGCTTATACAACAACACCTTCATCATCCGCAACTCCTCACATGTCTTCCTGTCCATCTCTGTGGTCGATGAGCCAGACCTGGACCCCCAGTTTGTCAGGGAGATTTACTCGGCCTCTGTGGCTGAGGATGCACCCCAGGTGTGCCAGAGGACCTGGGGGGGGGTCTGGGTGGACACAAGAGGCAGGGAAAGGGGGCGCCTGGGTGGCTCAGTGGGTTAAGCCTCTGCCTTCTGCTCAGGTCATGATCTCAGGGTCCTGGAATTGAGCCCCACATTAGGCCCTCTGCTCAGCGGGGAGCCTGCTTCCTCCTCTCTCTCTCTGCCTCTCTGCCTACTTGTGATCTCTTGTCTGTCAAATAAATAAATAAAATCTTAAAAAAAAAAAAAGAGGCAGAAAAAGGGCCTGGGACGCTGATCCACCTGGTTCTCTTCACAGGGAGAATCGGTGCTGAAGGTAGAGGCTGTGGATAGTGACAAAGGCATTAATGACCTGGTGACCTACAGCATTTCCAGTGAGAATGGGTGTGTCCCCAGGTGGAGGAAGGGATAGGGCTCTGCCAGAGCTACTGGAAGCAGCAGCTCCCACTGCCTCTCTCCAGACTCCACAATGCCCGGCTGGTTTGACATCGGGCCGGATGGGGTGATCAGGGTCACCGGTTCCCTGGACCGTGAGCAGCTGCTGGAGGAGGATGAGGAGGTGAAGGTGCAGGTCACGGTGAGTGAGGAGTCCACTGGCTCTTTTGTACCCGAACTTCAACTTCTGACCTTTGATCTCTGTTCTCTCTGAGCCTTGGTTCTCTGACCTCTGCTTTCTGGCTTCTGCTCGGGTCCCAGGCCACCGAGATGCACCCCAACATCTATGGACAAAATGCCAAGGTGAGCACATGGGTCACGCTGATGGTGACAGATGTCAATGACCACAAACCTGAGTTCTACAACTGCAGCCTCCCGGCCTGCACCTTCTCCCCCCAAGAGGCCCAAGTCAACTTCACCGGCTACGTGGATGAACATGCCTCCACCCGCATCCCTATCGACAGCCTCACCATGGTGGTCTACGACCCAGACAAGGTCGGGGTGCCCAGACAAGGGGTGGCTTGGTGAGGGGGATGGTGGGAGATGGCTAGGGGAGATGGTGGGGAGTGACCCGTAGAACAAGGTACCCAGATGCGAAGTGGGGAGGGGAGCAGAGGGTGGGTGATGGTGGTGATGATCATGAGCAGCGGTGGGAAATTGGAGTTGTTCGGTGACGTTTGGAAATGTTGGGTGATGTTACAATGGTGTGTAGTTTTGTGCTCAGGGCGGTGCTAGGTGCTGGTAAGCAGAAAGACAACACTGAGTGGAGGTTGATACTGGATGCTAGGTAATGCTGAGTGGCATTGAGGAGAGGGTGGTGATGGGTGCTTGGTGAAGTTGAGGGATCTTGGGGGATGTGGCAGTGTTGAGCATAAACTAGTCTGAGTGGGTGTGAAGTTGGAGGTGTATTCTTTTTATTTTTTCTTTTTATTTTTTTTTAAGATTTTATTTATTTATTTGACAGAGATCACAAGTAGGCAGAGAGAGAAAGAGGAGGAAGCAGGCTCCCCGCTGAGCAGAGAGCCTGATGTGGGGCTCAATCCCAGGACCCTGGGATCATGACCTGAGCCGAAGGCAGAGGCTTTAACCCACTGAGCCACCCAGGCACCCCTGGAGGTGTATTCTTAAGTGAACATTGATACTGAGTGATGGGCAGTCTGGGTGGTATTGAACAATGACTACCTATAGACAATGTTTGGTAGTATTTGGTGATATTGAGTTGGTACAAAATGTGGGTGGAGGAGGTGTCGGGTTGTGGTAGGTGGGCAAGTGTGTTGAGTTGGTGGTTGGCATTGAGTGGAGTGGAAATGGTGTGGAATGGAGGGTGATGTGGGTAACCAGGTGACTTTGGATGCTGCTGGTGGTTGGTGTTGGTATGGGTGGCCGACTGTGTTGAGTTGGGGTTGGTAAAGAAGACTCAGGAATGTCTTCTGGGAGTGAGGGGAATGTGTCCAGGCTCTGTCTTTCCAGCCCAAACCAGGAGCCCAGTCACCTGCAGACGTCTTCTAACGAGCCCACCTTTGCAGGGAACAGTGAGCAGCCTGGCTTCCCCAGGGTCCTCTTGCCGCAGTCTCTTGAGAGCCTCCCCTCATGGGACTTCAGAGGCAGGGCCTCCTGACATAGGCACCTACAGCCAGGATTAGGGGCAAGGGGCAGGGTGGTGTGTTGCAGGGGTTGGGGTCTCTACTATACCTTAAGCCCATCTCCACAGGGCAGCAATGGCACCTTCCTGCTATCTGTGGGTGGACCTGATGCTGAGGCCTTCAGCGTCTCCCCGGATCGGGCAGCAGGCTCCACGGACGTGCAGGTGTTGGTGAGAGCTCCCGCGCTGGTGGACTATGAGAATAAGACAGTGATGCTGGTGCAGGTGAGGGGTGTTCTGGGCCAGCAGGGAGCCCGGCCCATGGGCCCTCTGGTCCCCACACTGCTGATTCTTCCTCTATCCTCAGGTCGTGGCTACTGACTCAGTCAGTGGGAACGCCTCCGTCGCCCTGGTGACCATCCACCTTAGAGACATTAATGACCACCGGCCCACATTCCCCTACAGCTTTTACAACCTCAGTATCTGGGAGCACAGTGCAGATGGCACTGTGGTCACCGACAACATCCATGTGAGTGAGGGGGACCCTGTGGGGCTGGGCTCGGTGAGACATGGAGAAACACAGACCTGGGGACCGTGACCCTGCCCGTGACTCTCTATCATCTGATGTCCTCAGGCTCGAGCCAGCATGCACGCGTGTGTGTGGGGGTGTCTATTTGTGAATCAGAGTGTGTCAGGCGTTCTTGGAAGCCTGTACAGCCCTGTCCCCTTCGATCGCTTGGCTGGCAGCGAGTACCATCATTTCCAAACCATGTCCCATTGTCTAACTCTCTGCCCCACAGGCCTTTGACCCTGACACAGGAGAGGGGGGCCGCATCACCTACAGCCTGCTTCCAGGGAATGGGTAAGGTCTCAGGGTGGGCGGAGGGGGGGCGGGCAGATGAGCGGGGCCCGGGCCTGCCTCGCTGCCTTGCTGTGGGGCTAGGGTGCAGGCAAACTCTAGGACACCCAGTTCCATTTCAATTTCAGATAAACAACGGATAATCTGTTTAGTATAAGTGGATGGCAAATATCGCAGGGGGCATTCTTCAATATTTTTGACGGTTTATCTGAGATTCTAACTTAAGTGGACATCCCGTATTTTTGTTGGCTCCCTCTGGCCACGCTGCACAGGGCAGACATCTTTGAGGTGGACCAGAGCTCAGGCACAGTGACAGTGAGGAACGGTGAGGTGTTGGACCGAGAGAAGCAGGCCGAGTACTACCTGACGTTGCAGGCCACAGACGGTGGGAACTTGGCAGCCTCCACTACGCTGCACATTGTCCTGCTGGACATCAACGACAACAAGCCTGTGGTCAGCGGCTCCTACAACATCTTTGTCCAGGAGGAGGAGGGCGACGTCTTTGTGACCATCCAGGTGCGGATAGGACAGGGACGGGCTCTGTGATCATGGCGGCCCTGGGTTGGAATCTGGGCTCTCCTCTGTGGTTCCTGAGAAAGTTAATCCATCTCTCAGGGCCTCTGTCTCCTCTTTGGAAAATGAGGACAATCATGGTCCTTTTTCCCAGGGTCACTGGGGAATCATGAGATAATATGTGTAAAGTGTTCAGCACAAAGCCCAGCACAGAGCACACCCTCAAAAACCTATTGGCCCTTTTAATTCCAGCCCCTGTCTCATTCCAGAAAGGATTTGAGGTGACTTTGATTAAAAGGTCAGGTAAAAAAAATTGGAGAAATAAGGAAAAAGAGAAAATGAGAGTGGTGTTGCTAATGGGCACAAAAGTAAAGTTAGAACGGAGAACCATGCCATTGCCAGGAGGGCAGCTGAACATTCAGTTCTGAGCTTCCTGATGGCCAGTGCAAAAAGGGAAATAACAGCAGCCAGGTTCACAGAGTCTATGAGATAAAAACCCATGGTTGGCTCCAAAGACATATCAGAGACATGTGTCTCCCAGAGTCATCTGAAAAGGGGGCCTTGGAAGAAGTGGGAAAGAAACCAGGTGCTCAGAATGACAATCACGTGGCCACAGAGCGCTCTCCCACTCCTGGAGCTGTGAGGTTTCCAGAGCACATTCCCATCTCTGGTGTCTTGACTGACATGGGAAGTAGATGCTCTGATGGTCCCCAGGTCACAGAAGGGGAACCCCGAGGCTCAGAGAAGTTCAGCGACTTTTTTGGGTGGCATAGCCAATAGGTGGCAGCCCTGAAACCAGAGCCCAGAACTTTCTGCCAGGGAAACCTGGGCCTTTGCTTCTTGCTCCTCTGGTCTGTGGGTTCCTTGGGGCAGGAGCATTTCAGATCTGCTGCTGTAACTAACAGGAGCCCTGAGACGCGCTTGGTGAATTAACTGGCCTGAATTCAAAGTGCTAAGAGGGGAAAAGACAGGATCAGGCTACTGGAAAAATCATCTCTGGCTGTCTGTAGGGGAGGCATTTAATAAACAACATCCCAAAGGATCTGAGATGCAAGAATGGGGGAGGGGGTGGGAAAGGAGGAAGGGAAAAAGGCTCTGGATTCAAAGCCACGTTTGCCAAAAAACCTGCTATGCACTAGGCTCTCTGCTGGGCCCCAGTCCTCTGAGACGAATCCACCATAATGCCCGCCACACAGGACTCTCAGTTAGGGGAAGAGCGCTGGAGAGTCACCCAAGGGTATCACTTGTGTTGTGCTGAAGATAGCTCAGGGGACGTGGAGGCCCAGGGGAATCACCAGCCTGGCCCGGAGTCAGGCAGAGGGGCGTAGAGGGGAAGGCCTATGCAAAGGCCCAGGAGCATGATGGAACCTGCTGTAGTCTTCATGCTGGGTCACCCCAAAGGCAAACTGAGCACATGTTCAGGACTCTGGCAGGACAAGAACACACACACACACACACACACACACACACACACACACACAAAGGAGTTGGGTGAAGAATCAGCTGTTTTAAATAAAGCAGCACTAAAGTAGTCATTGTGGAAAAATCAGAATCTTGTTGGACTTCACCCCAGTTTACACTTGTTTGCTTTTGACTTTTGAGTATCTATGATATGCTGCCCCATGCCTCCTGTCCACTAGGACCTCAGCTCCCTAAGGGCACTGTCTTGATCACGGCTCTAGTGTCTAAAATGGGGCCGGACACCTGGCAGTGTGCAGTAAATGTCTGTGGGATCGAGGAACGAGCTCAGGGCTGAAGACCTCAGAATCCTGCAAGCTGTTGATGTGACCCTCCTTGATGGGACACTGAGGCCAAGAGATGAGCCCGTGTCCCACCGGCTTTAGGCCTGGTTACTGCCCTTGTGGGCTGGTGCTGGAGAGGAAAGCCAGGCTGCAGGGGAGGCGCTGGGGAGCTGGGAAGCCCCGGTAACTGATGCTGGATGCTGGTTCTCTTATAGGCTCGGGACGATGACCAGCCCGACAACAAAAACAGCCGTCTGCATTTCAGCCTGCTGCCCGGCACCTACAGCCATAACTTCTCGGTAGACCCCGATAAAGGGATCCTCAGAAACCTGGGGCCCCTGGACCGAGAGGCCATTGAACCTGCCCTGGGGGGCCAAATCGTGCTGACCGTGCTTGTGTCTGACTGCGGCGAGCCGGTCCTCAGCACCGAAGTCAACGTTACCATCAATGTGGAGGTAAGGCCTGGCTCAGCTGCGGGCAGGATGCCAGGATGGGCCCCGTGTTGGGGAGCTCCCAACAGGTGGCCAGCACCCCCACACCTCCAGCTGGAATAAAATTTCTGCCCTTTGTGGTAGGGTGGGCAAGAGAGTTCTGGAAGCAGGCCGCTTGGGTTAGGATTCTGGCTCTCTTGTGGGGCTTTAGGCAACCACTCAGCCTCCCTGTGCCCTCAAGTTCTTCATCTGTAAAATGGTGACAAAAATGCCAGAAAGTGAGTTAACGAGTGGAAGGTGCTTTGCAGAGTGCCAGACCCAGAGGAGGTCCCCAGTGTTTCCATTTGCCCCCTAATTCCATGGTTTTACTCTCCCCAGTTTGGGTCACTTGTGGTCAATAGCGTTCTGGGAACAGCTGATCCTCCTTATGATGTATCAGGTCATCACAAGGTCGGGAGCCTAGTGACGTCACAACACCCACGTGGTCCACCTCTCTTCATGTATGGGGGCATGTCATCATCTCACATCAGCACGACAAGTAGGATGAGTGCAGGACAATCGCATATTTTGAAAGAGGAGAGAGAGAGAGACCACATTCACACTGACTGCTATCACAGTATATCGTTACCATTGTTCTATTTAGTATTAGTTATTTTTTATCTCTTCCTATGCCTAATTTGTAAATTAAACTTTATCACGGGTATGTTTGCTCAGGAAAAACATCGTGCGTACAGGGCTCGGTACCAGGTTCCAGGCATCCGCTGGGGGTCTTGGAACGTTTCTCCCACAGATAAGGCAGGAACTATTTACTCTATTGGTTCTAGCTATAATTCACAAAGTTCTACTGAAACTCTCCTATCGCCTCACCACCATTCACAGGCAAAGAGAAGGGGTGAAAATCAGCATTTACAGGGTTTACTGCACACCTGGCCCTGCAAGTTAGAGATGGTGATTACCATTTTATTGATCAAGAAACTGAGGCACGGAGGGTGAGAGTCTTGCCTAGAGCCACAGAATGGGGTTTTGAACCTGGTCTGTCTGGTTCTTAGGCTGCCACCAGCCCCCAGGGCACTTTCCTCTAAAGAAGTGTTGTAACAAATGTGTGCCTCTCCAATATCTATGATGTGGATGGCGCCCCCTAGGCCTGTGCAGTGCGCAGCCTGCGCCACCCCACAGGGCAGCCCTGTGTGCCACTGGGTTGGGATGTGCTGCTTCCCTGCAAGGATCAGAGGGAGACCTCAGGGAAAATGGAGAAACAGAGCCGAATTAGGACTTGTCAGCTTGTTCCACTGTCCTCGGGGTGAAGTAGGCCATGAAGAAGGAAGAAAGCAGGACCGCATTTAGTGAGTGAGTAGGTCCTTTCACACCCACAGACTCGTCTTCACAACCGCCCCTAGAGTGGGGACCATGACCCCATCTTGCAGATGAAGACACTGAGACTCAGAGGAGTCAAGTCACATGTGAGGCAGAGGTGGGACTGGATTTGCCACAGCTCGGCCACCCCCGTGACTTAGGAAGCTGCTGGCTGCATGCACTGAGCCAGACATGCCATTCTGGGAAATTGCCGCAGAAAACACACCTAGTTAAGGAGGAGATGGCTTTGTTTTCATAGATGTCTGTTGAATGCTTACTTAGAAAAAGCTGAAGGCAAAAGCAGATACCTGTGGGCTGCCCGGGGGAAGGGCAGGAAAAGCCAAGGGCACCTGCAGCATGTGTTAGTATTTGGGGAGGAAGCAGCAGGTGGAGGTGGCTCTGTGCGGGGACAACAGTGTCAGTCTCTGTAGGTGTAGGTGGCCAGGGCCGGAGAGGGTAGGTAAGAATGGAAAACAGTGGGCGTCTAAGGCCAGGACCAGGCCTGAGCCTTAGCAGGTTCCTGGAGCTCAGCTCTGCCTGAGCACAGAGCAAGGGTCCTGGGGTCAGCTGAGCTCAGGAAGGACAGGCAAAAAGAGGGGACAAGGGAAAGCCTGGGCCATGGGCCTTTGTGGAAACAGTGAGACCAACAGAATAAATCCAAGGCATGGTGAGTCAAGCTGGCCGGATGGGGACGCCAATAGGAGCTCAACTCCCCTTCTGGAAAGCAGAGTCTGAGATGGCTCTGAATTGTGGTCAGAGAAGCAGGGAGGAGTGGGGCCTCCCTGAAAGTGTCTAACCAATTCCAGAGGTCCTGCCATAGGCCTGTGAGCCCCACGTGTGCGCCCTGGGCTGGTTCTGTCCTCTCAGAGGCACTTTTCTCACGGGTGAAGTGCGGAGATGTTGACAGAGAGTCCGTGCCTTGGGTCAGAGGAAACACGAGCTTCTCAGACTGGCTCTGGGGAGATCGAACTGTGAGGGCTCCTGAGGTTCGTGTGCTCAGAATTTCCTTTGCCTGCAGGACATTAATGACAACCTGCCCATCTTCAACCAGTCCGTTTACTCCTTCTCAGTGAAGGAGAGGGACCAAGGTAAGTCCTCTCTGGGTCAGGCCGGGTGCTGGGGCAGGGGCCAGGTGAGGTGTCGAATCCCTCCCGGGGCACTTGAGGGAGGTGAGGGCAGGGGAAGCCTCCAGTGGCTGCGCCCGGGGTCCCTGTGCAGTCTGCCCTCCTCCACAGGCAAGCTGGTGGGTGTGGTGACTGCCTGGGATGCGGATCAGACGGAAGCTAACAACCGCATCAGCTTCATCCTGTCGGGGAGCGGCGCCAACACCTTCGTACTGCGTGGCTTGGTTCTGGGGTCTGGGTGGGCTCAGGGCCGCCTCTGGCTGCCCTCAGATGTGAGCCTGGACTATGAGACACAGGCTTCCTACAATCTGACTGTGAGTGCTGAGAACCCAGACCCCCAGGGGAGAGAGGCCACAGCAGGAGTTTCTGTGGCCGTGGAGGACGTGAACGATGAGCCCCCCACTCTGGACTCAACCTCACTCCGGGGCATCCGGGTCTCTGAGAATGGCACACAGCATGGCATGGTGGCCCAGGTGGTGGCCTGGGACGTGGATACCTTGTCCCAGCTGGAGATACAACTTGTGAACGTCGTCTGTACCAAGGCCGGGGTCAACGTGGGCAGCCTGTGCCATGGCTGGTTCTCCGTGCTGGCCAATGGCTCAGTGTTCATCAGTCAGAGTGAGGCCATTGACTATGAGTCCTGTGACCTGGTCACGCTGGTTGTGCGGGCCTGGGACATCACCACAGACCCCCGCTTCCTGGCCCACAGTGACAACGGTGAGGCGGCCCAGCCTGCCGGGCCCAGGAGGCTGTTGCATAGGGGCCAGGACACATGTAAAGCATTTAGCATGGTGCCTGGCCCAGAGCCACTTGTGAGGCAGGGTGAAGGGGAGGGCAGCCGTCACTGTACTCGTAGCCCACCTCTGACTGTGGTCGCTAGAAGAACTGCACTAACAGCTAGCCTACTCTGAGACCGTCCTGCCACTGAGAGCTGTGCCAGGCACCATAAAAGTCCTCCTGTGTGTCCTTCCCATACTACTGGTAGGCTAGGTGATCCCTGTTCAATTTTACAGATGAGGAAACTGAGGCACACAGTGCCAGTAACCTAGCTTACACAGCTAACAAGTAACAGGGGGGACATTCCCCGGCGGGGCTCAGTACTTGCCGGATGACCTTGGACAAGTGCTCCCCTCTCTGTGGTATGGGAAGGATACTTCCCACCACAAAGGCCAGAGGAAACAGAGTGGGCACCCCCGGGCAGGAGCAGGGGAGGGGGTGGTGCATGGGAGATGCGCAGGAGGGAGGCAGCAGGGAGCATGGCTTAGGCCCAGGCCTTCTGGGTCAGGCCTTGGCCCAGAGGCCAGAACCAGCCAAACTTATTCCTGTAGGAAGCCTTGCCATCACCATCGAGGACATGAATGACAACGCCCCCTATTTTCTGCCTGAAAGTAAGACTTTCGGTAAGTGGCCACCCTTTCCCTCCATACTCTGCCAGGATTTCCTTCGGGCAGCTCCCATAGGCCCTCTTCCAACCCCAAGTTGGCCTGTGGAGAGAAAGGAAGGCCTCCAATCCCACCTCTCCCCAAAGTTTCAACAAGTGGGGACATCTGAGTTTTCAGCCCAGCTCTGCCCCAACTCATAATATCGGACCCCGGGCCAGGCCCTCCCCTCTGGGCCTCAGTTTCCTCATCTGCACAATGAGAGGTGGATGAGTTGCTAACTGATGGCACAGAGGCTGTTGTAATGGGGGTTTTGATGGTAGAGAGGTTGAGGAAAGATTTGGGGGGATTGCATCCTGAGCTGGGCTTATAATCAGCACTCAGCCGGGTGGGCACTGGCCCTGACCCCACTGACCCTTTCTCATTCAACTTGTAGTTATCATCCCAGAACTTGTGGTCCCCAACCAGCAGGTGGCTTCTGTCCAGGTAAGCCCTCGGCTCCTGCCTCTGTCCATCACGTTAGCCCCAGGAGACAGGACTAAGGCCTTCAGGCCTTTTGGCCGCCCCCAGACTGTTTTAACACAAGAAAGGAAATGTATTGGCTCCAACATATCAAAAGAAAACCCCAGAATGGAGATGAACACTTGCCTAATTGGTAGGATTTAAACTCCATTAATTATCATTTTGTTGTCATAAAAATTTCATGATCATAAAAACTATTTGCAGGCTAGATTTTTTTTCACTATGCCACAATTCTTGAGTCATACAGACAAATCATAACAGCTGTAAATTAAATGAGTTCCTTGCAGATAAATAATTTCCAGAGTGAAATTATAAAAATACTTCCGTGTATTTTTATACATGGGATGTGGGATGTGAGTATGTTTGTGAGAGGGTGCTGGGTGTGCCACATGGGCAAGCGAGGCCTCCCACACATGCCAGGAACCTGGCTCTGGTGGGCCCTTTAACTGACTTGGGGAGCTGCCTGCCTTTCTGGGGCTCAGTTTCCCTCCTGGAAGAAGCTGGCAGTTCCTGGCAGTGATGTGTGGGGATGAAGAGGTTGGGTGATATGTGTGTGCCCTCCTTTGCTGTGGAAAGAGGCCAGCCTTCCCCACTTCAAGCTGAGTCCTCACCACAGTTTCCTCTATAAAATAGGGATAGTAATTCTCTCTTCAGGTTCTTTCAAGCCCTAAAGAGTCTTCCAGTCTTCAGCCAATTACATTCCAATGTCATGAGTGGCCATAGCTTGGAGCCCTTTTCTTTAAATTGACTCTTTTTTTTTAAACTTAAACACCAACTTTGGTCTCATTCTGAAAAGTAGACTCACAGGTCTATGTGTTGGCTCTACGTATCTCTAAAAGGTACTAGAATGAATAAGAACGTTTGTAGGCCCCCCCTCCAATTATTTCATGGTCTGCTAAGGGAATTTGTATTCATGTCAGTAAACACTGAAATGAGGGATTTAAGGGAAGGTGCACACAGTAGGTGTTCAGGAAATGTGTGTGTGTGTGTGTGTGTGTGTGTGTGTGTGTGTGGCTTTGGGTTGGGGCAAAGCAGGACAGGATTTCCACATGGGATAGACTTTGGACAGCAACCTGTTGAGTTAGAGGGCCAGAAGCAGGGACTCGTCCAAACCTGGATTTGCAGAGCAAGCACACTGTTTAAAGTGTTTGCTTAGTTGGGGTGGCCTGGAGGAGGCTGATAGAAATACTGGGACCAGCCCAGGCCATCTCACCTGCTGATTCCTGCTGGGGGTGAAGGGTTGCCTGGCCTAGCCCCTAGGTGTTGTCCATTCTTTCTCCCAGGCCAGAGACAATGACTCAGGGAATAATGGAGCCATCCTCTTCTCTATCCTCCAAGTGGATTTCATCGCCAAGGATGGGGCCACAACCCCTTTCCAGGGCTACTTCCGGGTCACTACCTCTTTAGAGGCAGACATGTTCATTGGCAACATTGAGTAACGTGGGCAGCCCCTGGTTGGGTGGGAGTCAACAGGGCCTCAAGACAGTGAGTTCCAGAGGACTCCAGTTTGGGTTCCAAGACTTAGCCATGCTCATCTACCTTCAATAGGCTGGTGACCAACCTTGATTCCACTCTCCAAGGCACCTACCAAGTGACAGTCCTGGCCCAGGACAAACCTTCAGTGGGTCCTGCTCAGGAAGCTAAAATCACCCTGAATGTGAGTATTGGGTCCTGCCTCTAGCCCCCAATACCCTCTGCCAGCTCCTGGGTCCCTTATGCCTCATCTTCCCCATGCCTTCCTCCTGTAGCTCTTCACTGTGGACCAAAGTTATCGTGTCAGGTTGCAGTTCTCCATGAACAAGGAGGAGGTGGGCGCCAACGTGGAGAAGATTGTCGCGTAGGTTTGGGACGCTTAGAGGGGGCTGTGGGGAAGAACAGGGCCTGAGAGTCTGATCCCTGACGAGACCTGGACAGAATGTAGGTCAAACCTGTCCCTGACCTACACTTGATTTTGTCCGTCTTCGATCTGTAACTGTACCTGCACTTCCTCTCTCAATGCTCCTAGAAGCATAGGATTGGCTGGGGATAGAGAGCCCTAAATAGGACCGTCATGTATGGTTGTGAAGGCTGTGCACTGCACAGGGGTATTCTGCTCGCTAAGTCATAAGCCCAACCCCAGAGGAAGGGGCTGCCCTGTCTAATCTGCACAGAGGTGCTATCTGAGTAGCCAATGAAGCTGTCCAGAGGAGGTGTCCCTTTCTAATTCACACAATTCCTAATTCCCCTGGTAGAGTCCTGGCCATAGACCCAGTCTAAGGCTCCTACCCTATGCCTCAGTGACATCTGCCCCCTTTGCAGTGTTCTCGCTCAGACCACCAGGACTACTGTCTATGTTGTGAGCATTCAGGACATGGAATCCACAGCTCGGTGAGTGCCCACAGGCTCAGTGGCTGGAGTGAAGATGAGAAGCAGCAGCATGAGGGGCCTGCTGGGTGGTTCTGGACGGTTTACTCTTTACCCCCGCCCCATTCCAGGGCCCGGGGCCGTTCCTACCTTGATGCCTATTTTGTCTTCTCGAACGGGACAGCCCTGACCCTTGATGAGCTGAGTGTGTGAGTGGGGCTCCCCTTGGGTGGGCAGGAGGGTGAGCAAAACCCTGGGGGATGCCGACATCCCTTGGGTCTGAGTGGGACTCTGTGGCCAGGATGATCCGGAATGACCAGGACTCACTGATGCAGCTGCTGCAGCTGGGGCTGGTGGTACTGGTGAGTGTCAGCGCAGGGGAGCTGATGAGGGGAGCAGAGAGGGGGAAGGTCCACCCACAACCTGCCTCACACTTCTCCAGGGTTCCCAGGAGAGCCAGGAGTCAGACCTGCCAAAGTTGCTCATCAGTGTCATCATAGGATTGGGAGTGGCTTTGCTGCTGGTCATCGTGATCATGACCACGGCCCTTGTGTGTATCCGGAAGAGGTACTGCTCCCATCAGCCCCCTTGTCTCCAGCCCTGCATTTCCCACCCTTTGAGACATTTGGTGGGTAGAGAAAGCTTGGCTTTAGACATCCGGTATATCTGTATTTAGTCCCCTGAAACCTGTCGTGACCACTCAGATAGGTCATCTCCCCTTCCTGAGCCTCTGTTTCCTTTGTAGAATGAGCACAACACTAGATTCCTCAAGGTGCACAAGGACGCAACGTGCACCCTGCGAGCAGGAAAATGCTAGTCTTTTCATAAATGCTGCCTCTTTTTCCTTTTGCAATATGTTTGGGGCCAGGAGCCACATCTGGATTTGACTCCAGGCCTTGCCACTGGCCAACCCTTGAGGAGTCCTTTCCTTTCCCTGGCTCTTACTTGTGCCCTCGGTATTATGGTGCTAACCCTCTGAACTGCCAGGGCTGTTGTGAAGCCACACTCTCAGTATGTGCACTGGGCACACAGTGGGCATGCAGGCAAAGTAGTGACTCTCCCAGCCCCTGACTCTCCACAGCTACCACCGGAAGCTTCGGGCTGTGAAGGCTGCTAAGGAGGCCCGAAAGACAGCGGCAGGGGTGATGCCCTTGGCCTCTGCCATCCCTGGGACGAACATGTACACCACTGAGCGGTGAGCGGGGTTCAGAGAGTGGGTAAGAAGCTCCATGGGGAGTCTGAGGTTCACAACTGCTTGAATAAGCCTTCTCTCCAGGGCCAACCCTATGTTGGACCTCCCCACCAAGGACCTGAACTTCAATTCCCAATCCTCCTCCAGTGACCTAGATCACATGAGGTGAGCAGAGACCCTCACAGCCATGCTGGTCAGTGATGGCGATGGTGGTGGTGGCGGTGGTGGTGGTGTTGGTGATGTTGGTGGTGTTGGTGACGGTGGTGATGGTGATGGTGATGGTGGTGGTGATGGTGGTGGAGGTAATGGAGGTGGTGGTGGCGATGGTGGTGGTGTTGGTGGTGGAGGTGATGGTGCTGGTGGTGCTGGTGGTGTGGTGGTGTTGGTAGTGGAGGTGATGGTAATGGTGGAGGTGGAGGTGATGGTGGTGGAGATGGAGACAGTCGCGTGGTGATGATGGTGGAGGCAATGGTGGTTCTTGGCCACGGACAGGGAAGACTGGGGCTACTGACTGAGCTCCATCATCTCTCCCACAGTCTCAATTCCCTGGATGACAACTCTGTTGACCTGGAAAAGGACAAGGAGATAATCAAGGCAAGCTGGGGGATGAGCTGGTGCCTGGGGCTTCTTGACATGGGGTCCTTCTCTGAATGGGTGGGGTTCGGGACAGAGCTGCAGGACCTGCTGCTGACATGCATGTCTCCACACTAGGCCCTGGGAAGCCCACAGCCTTGGATGGAACCCAACCTTTGCTCTAATCCTGGTTCACTGAGACTTGAGGTGGGTGACTTCCCTCTGGTTCTGTTTTCTCTTCTGTAAATGGAGATTGGAACACTAAACATGCAGGGCTTTTTGAGAGTGAAGTTAGAGCAGGTATGAAAACCACCTGGTATGAAGCAAGAGCTAAAAAATCTGGTCCCTTCTGTTTATACCTTTGTATGAAAGCTGGCGGGGTGCAGGGAAGAAATCCAGAGGTGGACATAGACTAGTAAAGGAGAGAAGGGAGGCTCACATAAATAGCTGTGCTGTTATTTGTTCAGTAGGGGAGATGGTTCAATTAGATCAACAGTTCACACAGCCTGGGCTGCTAACTAGAATCGCATGGGGAACTCTTTAGAAGTGCAGATGTGGTGTCACAGCCTGGAGATTCTGACCCAATGGGTGGGGATCCAGCCTGCTTGGGTGTGTCGTTAAAGCTCTTGACGTTCTAATGTACAGGATAGAGGAACAGCGAGATCAGCAGGTGGGGTGTGGGGGGGTGTTGCACAGGGATCTGGCTGTAGCATGGAGGCCACCAAATGGGCCCCCAAAGATGGAGGTCACGGATGGCAATCCGGGCGGCCAGGCAGTGCTGAAGGCCTTGGGGTGGACGGTTCATCTCTGGTTGAAGATGGTTTGGGGCCAAAACTTCAATGAATATGTCTGGGGGGAACTGAGGAAGAAGAGAACAGTCTTGTGGGTGAGAACTCGTGGCCAAGTTGGTGGCCCCTGGTGGAGGCCAAGACAGACCCCTATAGGGGAGTGGCATTGGAGGTTCCCGGTGGGGCTGGGCTTGTGGGCTGGGAGGGGCAGGGAGCCTGAGAGATGAGTCTAGAGAAGGGGAGAGGCTGGGCCACTGAGAGCCTTCAAAAGCCAGAAAAGAGACAAGACCGTCCTAGGATGACAGAGGTTGTTATAACTCAGAGAAGCTGCCCAGACTCTACCGTCTCTCCTTCAACAGCGGGTGGGCGCTGCAGTCTCTGGGTGAGGAACACAGGTGGGACCTTTTTCTGAGGATCTCTTGGTGCCCTAACTCACCCCAAACCTCCATAAATGTTTGTGTGGAAGGTCTGAGGGAGCCGAGAGGTGATCTAATGCAACCTTCACAAGCAACCAAGGCCAGAAGGCTCTGGGGCTGACCTGCCTGAGGTCCGAAAGCTTGCAAGGCAAGGGCAGACCAGAACTCAGGTCTCCTGTCTCCAAGGACAGTTTGAATTGTCCTAGGCCGCACTGCACTAATGGCTCCCACCGGGGGTCTACGGTGAGGACTCGGGGGAGCCCTGTTTAGTCCTTCCTGGGGCCCCTCAGATGTTCCACTGTTTACCAGGGACTGGAAAAGCCCTAGTCCAGAAAAAAACCCGTGGAATGCCCTGGGGAGAATGGTGGCAGGGGCTCTGCCCCCAGAGGTGTCTCTGTGTTGGTGGAGCTGAGCCTGGGGCAGGCTCCACAGGAGGGCAACCTTGTGAGGAGGTTTGAGTTTGTGGCAAGTTGCAAGGGAAGGGGGAAGAGGAAAGGTAGGGAGATGAGCATGTGCTGTGATGAGCTGCAGGTGGTACCCTGGGTGTGACGTGGCCCTTTGAGGGTGGCACAGGGAGATGCCAGATTCAACCAGGGGCAGCAACGGACAGTCTTTAGGGCCAACAAGACCCAGTGATCCAAACCCTGCTCTGCCTCTTCCTGGCCATGAGAGCCCTCTGAGCCTCAGTTTCCACATCTGTAAAGTGCGGTACAGGATCCCTGCCTCAGGGGTCTCCTGTGGGTAGTTCAGGTCATGGACTGCGCCTAGCACAGTGTTGGCCTTGGGGTACAGGTGGCAGGAACTGGATTGGACTGACTTCTTGGCACAGGACACTGAGCCTGCTATTATTCAGGACTGAGAACAACACCGAAGTCCTGCTGTGTCCGTGGGTCAGGCAAAGGCCAGAGGAGACTTCCCCCCTCAGGTCCACCCCTTCACCTGTTCACCTGAGCCCATCTGCACCACTAGTGGCCATGGTCACCTCTGGGACACAGCCAAGAAACAGGCCCCAGGAAGAGCATGTGGGACTGCAGTTAAGCAGCCATCTGTCATGGGTTGAAGAGTCCCTTACAGACTGGGAGAATCACCCTATCTCTGCCCTTCACACCTTCCCTCCTTCTCCCCACAGAAGGAAGCCCTACACAGTCTGATGGAGCTAGATACAGAGCCACTGGGCATGGTGCTGTCAGGAAGGAAGGAAGACAGAGGTGGACAGCAGGAGCTGTCCTTCACCAATGCTGGCCTGGACACCACAGACGTGTGATGTCCCTGCCACAGGACCCTTGCTGCAGAGCCCCCCACGGTGATCTACCTCGGAAGAAGTCTTGTCACCCCAAACCACACCTACCCCTCTCTAAATGCATTAATATATCACGCTACTCTGTCCCCTTCTGCTTGTAGGCAATCACACCTGCCAAGAATTGGAGGACAATTTTATTACCAATGTATATTGTGACAGTTTGTAGCCAAAAACTGTGGCTGGAGGGGTGGGGACAGGGGTATTGAGTGGTCACAAGGGACTCGTGGGGCTCACAACACACAGGGATGAGGGAGAGGGGGCAGCCTTTAAAGGAGGACTGTGGTTATAAAGTGAGCTCTCTGTCCTGCCCCCAATACCCAAGACCAGCTGCAAGGCTGCCTGGGACCCAAGACCTTCTATGAGCTTCTGACTGTGATTCCCAGACCTGTCTGAGACTCTCCTTTCAACTGTGCCCCCCGGGCATTCCTGCAGCTGCCTTCCCGCTGTCAGGAATTGTGAACAGTGTCCAGGGAGGGTGGATAGGGCTGGGACTGGGCCAGATGAGGGGGAGACAGGATTTGGGGATGACTACCAGCATGCAAGACATGCCCGGGCCATGGGGGCCAGCCCACTGCATGGACACACACACTCTTCCAGGAGCCCCATATTTGGAGCCTTGCACACTCAGGGGTCTCACACACCAATCCTTGCATACTTGGAGCTTTTGTACATAGTCTCTCCAGTTCTGGGGACTTGGTGGCCACTGAAGACTTCAGCCTACCAGTCTGGACATCTCAGGAGCCTGCCTCAGCTCTCAGGGCTGGGCCTGCTGAGCAGATCCCCGAGTTGTGACAGGGAGGGAGGGAGCGATGAGGGCTGGAAAGGGACAGGGTGGTGTCAGGGCTGGGTTCGTGGTCCCATGACCATGAGGGGGCCGGGTAGAGAGGGTTCATTGGTGAGTTTGGCAGGGGAAGAGGCTGGAAAGAAGAGGATGAGAAGGCCCTAGAGGCTGCCCACCTCTCAGGGGGGCCTCCCGCCCGTCGAGGGGGATCCCTTCTAGGATCTTGGGGTCAAGAAGGGAGCCTGAAAAGGTTGGAAACCCGGGCGTACAAAAGGGGAGCATATCACTCGGCCGTGGGTCCGGCTCGGGAGCAGCACCTGGGCCGACGCACACTCTGCAGCAGCGCTCGGAAGAGGCCAGGCGGGCGCTTGGCGGGATCCTCGGGGGGCGCAGCGCGCATGGAGCCTGCACGGCCAGGGCCTGGGCGGGCGGCGGGCGGCGGCGCGGGCGCCCCTTGGCGGCCGTGCTCCTCGATCTGTCGCTCCAGATGCTTCTGGATGGCCATGCCCAGGACCTCCACCTCCATGGCGGCGCCGTACACCTCCCACGTCATGCCCTTTTCGTCCCAGCTCACGTCGCGCACCGGCTCGGCCGCCTCCTGGGGCGCCACGGCTGCCGCCAGCGCGGAGCCGGGCCGCACCCGCACTTCGGGGAAGGCGGGTGGCGCTGCCGACGGCGCTGCCGCCTGCGGCGTCATGGGCCCCGTGGCCACGGAGCGCGTCTCGGCGGCGCCCAGCGACACCTGCAGGCCCGCGTCCCGGCGCGAGGGTGGCCTGGGCCCGGGGCTGGGCGCGCGAGGCGCCGCCTGGAAGCTGAAGGCCGGGCCGCCCGCGCCGTCCTGCGGAGACATGGGGCTCACGGCCACCGACACGCAGGCCTGCGCGCCCGCCTGCGTCCCCGCGTCCTCGCGCGGTGCGGCGCTCGCCTCCCACGACGGCGCCTTAGTGAAGTTGTCGCGAGTCCGCGGCCCGGGCGGGGGCCCTATGGCCTCCGGGCCGGGGCTTCTCTGGGCCCCAGCGGCCACCAGGTCTTTCTGGCCTAGGCCGGAGGCCTCTGCGCTGGGCTCTGGCACTGGCTCCAAGAGGCCTCCGCCATTCCCGGTCCCCGCGGGAGAAGGGCCTGGGCCGTAGGGTTTGCCGTCTGACTGCTTGGAGGAGGAGGAGGCCTCTGCCTTCTCCACAGGCAGGGGACCCAACTTCCCGGAAGTGGGGGACTCTGCCTTTCTTGAAGGCACGGCCTCAGCCTTCCCTGGAATCAAAGGCCCCACCTTCCCAGAGGCAATAGGGTCTATGTTTCCTGAGGCTTCCGGCTCCCCTTTCTCCAAGGCCAGCGGCTTCTCCTTCCGCAGAGGTGCAGTCTCTGCCCTTCCCGATGAAGCAGGGCCCTCCTGCCCAAAGGGCTTTGTTTCTGCTTTGCGCTCAGACTTGGGTTCTGCCTTCCCTGAGGCCCTGGGATCCACCTTTATGGAGTTCATAGGATTCCCCTTCTCTGGGGGCAAAGGATCCATCTTTCCCTCCGGGACAGCTTCTCCTTTTCCCAAGGGTGCTGGGACTGTTTTTTCTAGAGTCACAGGGGCCACTTTTCCAGAAGACACAGAGTCTATTTCTCCAGGGGGAACACTTTCTGCCTTCCCTCTGCTCACAGTGTCTGCCTTGCCCAAGGCCATGGCGTCAGCCTTCCCTGAGGCTGTGGGACCCACCATTCCAGAGCCCATAGGACCTGCCTTCTCTGAGGACAACAGCTCTGTTTTCCTCTCAGTCACTGTCTCAGCTTTGACAGAGGATGAGGGTCCCACTGTCCCCAAGAATTTGGGATTCCCTGGACCTGAGGGCACAGGGTCTAACCTTCCTTTCAATTCAGGATTCGCTTTTCCAGAAGATGATGTTTTTGTATTTCCCACAGAAATGGGATCTACCTTGGTGGAGGGCACTGGGTCCTCCTTTCGTGATGAGACAGTTTCTGTCACCTGCCCGGGAGACAAGGGCTCTGGCTTTCCGGAGGACACCAGATCCACCTTGCCTGAAGACACAGGATCCACATTTTTCAAAGATGTGGGTTCCATCTTTCCTGAAAATACAGCGTCCACCTGCCCAGCAGACATGGTTTTTGTCACGCTCATCGACATGGGATCTCCCTTTCCCGAGGAGGCAGGCTCCATCTTCCCCGGGAACTGAGGGTCCTCTTTTGTCAAGGACCCAGTTTCTGCACTTCCAACAGATAGAGAATCTGTCATCCCCAAGTGAGTAGGCTCCATCCTTCCTGAGGACCCCAGAGCCACTATTCCCGGAGACATGGGCCCAGTTTTGCCTGATGGCCCTGGAGTCAGTGTTGCCAAGGAGGCAGGATCTAGCTTTCCTGCAGTTGCAGAATCTGTGTTTTCCAAGGACCCAGGATCCATCTTTCCTGAGGGCCCAGGAGCTCTCTTTCCCAAGGAAACAAGATCTCCCTTTCCCACAGATGCTGGAGCCGCCTCTTCTGAGGCCACAGGAAGCTCTTTTCCTGAGCACCAGGGCTCCTCCTTTCTTGGGAACTCAGGATCCGATGTGGCAGAGGATACAGGGGCCTCCTTCCCTGGGGACACTGGTTCCACCTTGTCAGAGCACACAGGATCTACCTTCCCTAAGGATCCAGGATCCTCCTTTCTTGGGGCCACAGGATTCATCCTTCCAGAAGCCACAGGATCCCCTTTTCCCAAGACTGCAGGCTCTGTCTTTACTATAAACACAGGATCTGCCGTTCTCAAGGACCCAGCAGCTTCCTTTCCTATGGAAGTGGAATCTGCCTGCTTTGAAGACTTGGACTCCATCTTCTCCAAAAACAAAGGATTTCTGTTCTCCAAGGATGAGGGATCAGTTTTCACTGAGGACACAGGCTCTGGCTTCTCAGAGAAGGTAGCTTCTGGTGTCCCTGAGATCAAAGCTCCATGTGCCCCCAGTGTCTCTTTGCTGGCTGCCTCTTGGGGAGGGATGCAGGCCAAGCTCCCGCCAGGGCCCTCAGGACAAGAGGCCCCTTCCCCAGCCCCACTGGAGCTGCTGTGTCTAGAGTCCATGCCTGGGCTTGGGGCAGGGTTGTGCCTAGGGGGTGCAGGGCTGGCCTTCTGCTGGGAGGGGCAGCAGTCCCTCATGGCTGGGTTCCCAGCCCCCAGGCTCCCATCCTGTGGGCAGCAGAGGGCTGTGGGCTGAGGTGCTGGGGGGCTGGAGTTCTTCCAAAGAAGCTGGAGCCAGGTTGGGTCTTCAGCACTGCCCAACTGCCCTCCTAACCGTACTTGTGCCCCAGGCTTCTATCTGGTTCTGAAACACAAAGAAAACAGACTCAGACTCAGGGAAGACCCAGTGAGGAGGAACCTCTATCTTCTCCCTCCCACCCTTCTCCTAGCAGCTGGGCCTCCTCCCTGGGTTCTCTGCCCCCATCTGGTCCTCTTCTGTCCTACCCCATCACTCCCCTGCTTCTCTGCTCCCAGTGGCCCTCTAGATAAAGGTCAAACTTCCTAAAATGGCATTCAAGGCCCTTCACAACTTGGCCACAGTGTAACTTCTTTCTAAAAAAAATTTGCTTATTTAAGAGAGAGAAGGAGACAGAACATGGAGGGGGGCAGAGGGAGAGAGAGAGAGAGAGAGAGAGAGCCTCATACAGACTCTGCACTGAGCTAGGAGCCTGATGGGGGGCTCAATCCCATGACCCTGAGATCACGACCTGAGCTGACACCAAGTGTCGGACGCTTAACAGACTGTGCCACCCAGGGACCCTCATGGTCTGACTTTTCAACTTCATCAGTCTTCACCCCATGCAGCATATACCCTTTGTCTTCCTTGTCAGCCCACCCCATTCGGCATGCTACTCTGCAGTTACACTTTTGTCTTCTAGGACACAGGTCACAAACTTTGATGCCATAGGGGCCAGGAGGGTAATTTAAGTGAGGGAACCAGGCTGGGTAGAGAATAATAGGGAGTGGCAGGGAAAGTTTGCAAAGCAGAGAGGGTATGCCCTAAGGCGGGAGCCACTCCTCTGCTAGCCAAGCACCGTTCTGGACAGATTCATCCCGGTGGTATCAGCGAGTAGCAGGAGATCCAGAACTTCAACATGAAATCTCTAATTCAAGATCAAAAAAGAAAAACACCACGTGGGTCAAATAAGATATATCTGTGGACTGCAGTTTTGGTCTGTGCAGGCCCTGGGAAGATGTGGATGATTTATAGTTAGGAAGGGACATAGTCTGAAATGTGAGATTTCAAAGACCGCTCTGGGATGGTGTGGAG